AAAAAAAATTATCACTAAATTATTTAAATTATTGGTTAATTAACTGTTTATAAATAAAATATTAATATATGTGTGGCTCCGTGGCAATGACGGGCCCCTGAACCGCGCCCTCTGTTGTTTCAAACATTTTTGGGTTACCATGATTGGACTAGCACTTGGACCTATTCTTATCAAAAAAGATGGCCCAGATGGAGCAATATATATATATATATTGAATGAATTACAATTGAAAGGAGGGAAATTCGAATCCTTTTCTTTAAATTTGAGGGGTACCTTATGATGAGACATAAAATGCAATATATATATATTTTGAATGTATTACAATTTTAAAAAAAAATTATTTAAATCTCAATTTTAAAATTAATAATACACTTTACGATAAGATATATAATTATTATATCACAAAATCCAAGTACAAACACAATATATATTTAGTGGTTTTCATTTTCAAAATTGTATTTGTCATTTTCGTTTTATTTGTTTTTGAGGCTCTTTCTAATAGTTGGCAGATTATTTTATGATAATGGAATCCAAGTTGTATCACTCATATCATATATAATTTTTTTAGGCCACCACTCACACATACTTTATTATTATTATTATTTTTCCTTTCCCTTTTTGGAACAGGTTCAATGGAAGAAATGTTATTCATTTAAGATTAAAGGCATGTTTGGTTAGCAATTTCTAAGAGAAATTACTGATTTGAAAGTTGTTGTCTACAAAAATTGATGTCAAGCGTGTACTGGATTAAAATCAGCACTTTTATGGGAATGTAACCTTCTGATCTTTGACCCCCCAAAAGATGAACGTCTCAAGTAGGCGTCAACTTTAGTCTACAAAGTTACGTTTTGTCCACTGAACACTCATTAAGAAAATTGCTAACAGCAAGAGATTTGGGTTGATTATTAAATATGTCATAATAACCATAATCATTGATCAACCAGACCTTGTTTCGGATTAAGATCAATGATTCAAAACTTTATAATCTCAAGTATCTATCATCATATGCATAAAAAAAATAAGATTTTTTTTTATGACCATTAAATCCTCAATGCCAGTAACCTACCGTATGGGCTCTCAGTAAAAGATGCTAGTATCTAGAAGCCCAATTTCTAGTCCATCATTAAATAGGTTGAATTGAATGGACTGGAGTCCAAGGGGCCCAAAATTATTTTCCTTTCTCCACAAGAAAATGTTATTAACACGCATGCGCTTTAATTATCCTAATAAGTAAAGATTAACAAATATATATATATATAGTGTCAATAAAAAATAGTACAAATTAAAAAAATATACAGTAACAATACTACGGCATTCTAAATTTATAACATAATAATAATACAAGGTAGTGCTATACTTATAATGTTATTTAAAATTATAATTTTAGAATTTTATATGATATTAAATAAATATGATGTGATATTAAATTAATAAGTATATATAATATTATAAATTTATATAATGATATATTATATTATAATTTTATAATATCATATAATATTATAATTATAGTATTCCCAATAATAATATTATGAGAAGGATTTATTTATATGCAAATCTTATACATCATATTTATATAAAATTTAAGCCATTTATCTCTTTGCTTTTGATAGTCAAGATTTATTGTAACTTTTTAGGTGATAAATATAATTATTTTTAATAAATGAGAATAAATCTTAATTATTAAAAATAAAAAAGTAAATAGTTGAGATTTTATAAAAGTGTAATATATAAGAATTGTATGTAAATAAATTTCTACTCTAATATTATATGCATATATTTGATTAATTATGAGTTTAAAATCCTATCTTTAATTACAGATGTTCATATTTGATCAAATCCGATTGATTCAATTCAAATTGATAAAATTCAATTAAAAACTAAAATAAATTGATGTAAAACTGAGTTAGTTTGAATTATAAAATTTTAAAATCTACATAATTGATTTGGATTGTAATTTTATTTTCAAACTACTCAAATCATCTGATTACAACATAACTTAATGAAATAATATAAGAAGTTAATGCATATTACTCATTATTCTAAAAAACAATTGAAGTCTCAAACTTCATTTGAAAATTAAAATCCAAATTTTTAAAGAATTTAGAAATCGAATATATATTTTAATATAATTAGTTTTTAAATCTAAATATCAATATTTAATAAGATAAATTTTTAAATCTTGAAATAAATTTTAATTAAATAAAATGACATATTTTAATGTTGGGATTTCAATTTATTGTAAAATTCAATATTGATATGCATTTTTTCCAATATAATATTTTTTTTAGTATTTAAATTTTTTTGTTGCATAAGATAATAACTTTATTAACTTAATTAAAAATAAAAATAAAAGATCCCTATATTCCCTAATTTATTTTTCTTTCTTGATTTGGCACTCTACTTGTAATTCTAAATTTTTAATTTACATATAACTTTACCTCTTAAAATTGGCCTGCAACTCTCTTCTTAAAACTATAAAGTTTTAATTTATTCTTAAAATAATATTTTGATTCTATTAATTAAATTATAAAAAAGTATCATTTTAGAAGGTTTAAAAACTTTATAATAAAATTAATCTTGATATTCTACTGTTCTTGAATTTTTAGTCGATAAGTTTTAAATCTTAATTATAAATACTTCTAATCAATATTAATGATATTTGTTTTAAATTTTGTTCGTTTTTAATAAGATTTAAAAAAATAGAATTGAATCATTAGTACATTAAAAAAATAATTTACATTATACTTAAAACTTTGAATTATTTTTTATTATTCTTAGTGCTTTTGGTGATGTAGTCAAGAATAATTTTTTTTTTAATTTTTACAATAATAAAAGAGTATAAAAACAACTCCAATAAGGTAACTTAACGATTAAAAACTTGAGACTCCAAGTTGAAGATATCAACTTCAAATTTTGAGTAAGATGGGAAGAAATTTAAAAACAAAAGAAGATTATTCTCTCTTATACAAACCATAATTAAATGTATAAAACAAAAGAAGAATATAAAAACTTATTTATAACTTGTGCCTTTTTTTAATTATATTTCTATTAATTTAGGTATTAATATATTATATAATTATATTTTTTACTTAATTTTAAAATCTTGTATATGATCTCATACATATAATAACATTAAAAACTTATTATTCATACTAAAGCACATTGATTTAATTAAAGTTAAATTAATTTAATTATCCTATAATAATATATTAAATTGATTTAAATATTTTATTAATTGATTAAATTAATTTAATTTAAAAAATATTAAAATTCAAACTAAATAAGACTATAAAAATAGTAAATACCCCACTTGTAATATTACCTATTTGTACATTTGCATTAATTGTTAGCTTAAAATCATATCCCTATAATCAAGCATTCCCAAAAAGATTATAAAGCCTAAAAAGTATTCCGATCAAGAGATTACAACACCCACGTCAAGTCATCGACCGGCGCCTTACCCCGCACTCCACCACCACCAACCACTCTGAGTCTTCAAAGCTGCAACCGAATTCAAGGGTTCCGGTGATCGGATTCTCGTCTCCGTTTCCACTTCGGCAATCATCATGAACTGCGAAGTTTGCCATCTCAAAGAACTGGTATGTCGATTTCGCTTCTGTTTCCAGATTTAATTACAGTTCTCAAAACAAAATCAGAGTGGTTTCTGGTTAATTTAATCGCAATTGCTGCTGAAATTTTTCTTTAGGAAGTGGAGCACTTCCAGATACGCGAGGTTTTACGCTGTGAGTGGGAAATTTTGTCTTTAGCTGTTAATGGTGTTTCGCACTTCGAATGTTGAGTTGCCGTGTTTGTTGTTCTTTGTTTTGCTTGATTTGAGGAATTTGATGTGGATATGAAATTGGTTTCAGGCATTTTGCATACGATTGTGTTTCATCGTGCTCTTGGTCTGGTTCGGCCCAAAGATGTTGAGTTGGGACTTTTTGATATCACATATGTGAGTGATTTCCCCCTAGAATTAGAACTATAATATCCTGTAGCTGTACATTCACCAATTTTTGGGCATTGTTTGCTGATATGGTTGCCTTTTGTGATCTTTTGCATTTTTGTACTTCTCTTTGAATTAGGTGCAATGTGGGGATGTTGAACTTGAAAAGAAAATAGATGAGAAGATTGGTCATTTCATAAGCTGGGTTGAGAAACACCCAAACAAGAAAAGTCAGGTACTGTAGTTCCTTTACTAAGGACTTACAGTTAGCCTATTGCCCCCCCCGACCTCCCCATATCTTTTTTATTTCATATTTAGTGTTCTTTTTTGGAAAGAATATGTTATTGTTTACTTAATTGAAACATTTTGAATTTCCAATGTAAAAGTAGTTATCATTTCTTGTCCCTTGTCATTTTTTGCCATGTTCTTTCTCATACTAGGTGTATTCTAGGATTTTTACAATTTTCAACATGTTTCTGATTCCCTTAGGTTCCAGCTTGTACTTGTTCTCTGTTTAGTTGCCTAGTTTTTTCATTTTTCATGCAGATTTGCTTGTCCTTCTATGAGGTGAAAAACAAACAAGCATCATGGTTCACTAACAAAACTGAACGTCTGTATTGGGAAGAGTGGTATATCAATTTGAATGTGACTCAACACCCCAGGGCACATTTGGGCAAGTCTCATCATTCAAAAAAAGTGGTAGACCCTGGAGGTATATCACACTAATGCATTCATTTAGCTAATTGCAAATGATTCACTTTCTTAGAGTTGAGGCAATTTGGTTTGGTTTTCATTTTTGTACATATAGAGAGTGAGTCCGAGGAAAGAACTGTTCGCAGAGCAGCACTTGAAGCATCTATCCAGGAGGTGATGTTTCAAATTATAAAATTTGTCAATGAGAAGAAGGATCATGTTCCATCCATATCTGAGAGCATCATCTATTTTCCCTATGAAATTAGTATCCCAAGGTCAGCTCTCCTTTTCTTCTGTAGTATAATCACTTTGTTTATTTATTGTTGTTATTGTTATTTTGCTCTGACTAAAACTTTGGGTCAAGACTTCATTTATGTGATTGAAAAAAACAGTCTTCAAAGTTGTTCATACTCAAATTTGTCAGTGGAGGTAGGCAATAAGAGTAGACGATGAAACCTTAATAGATTTTTATTCCCTTCAAATTCATTGTGAACAGAATAAATGGTTGCTGACTTTAATGAATGACAGAACGGTGTGCAGAGAACTAGAGGAATGCTATGTTTCTGATGCAAAAAATGTGCTTTTCTTTCCTATTAAAGACTTCCTCCTTTTTTTCTTTTTTCTTTTCTTTTTTTTTTTTGTTCATTAAGATTATGGATTTACAACCCCACAAATGGTATTGGGGTTTAAAGTGTGTACTGGAAATTTTATAAATGTTGACACCATGGAAGAATTGTTGCATGGAGATCTAAGTGTAGTGAATAAAGAAAGAGGCAGGTAGTAGTTTCGCAAACAGAATAGATGAAACTAATGGAATTTAAGAGCCAAGAGAACTCCTAGAATGATAATTTATTTCTTAATTGATTTACAAAGAGGATTCTTGTGGTAGGACAGGTAGGGGGAAAGTTTTATTGGATTTGTGTGAATAAGCGGTATCTGTTTAGTTAAAATGAAAGTTAGGTGTTGAGGGATAGGTTTTTTATGGTAAATGTGTAACATTAAGTATGCAGCTAATTGTGCCTTATGTAGGGTTGTGGAGGTTTTTCTACGGTTGATTCTTTACTGAAGTCATGGTTTCAAATGGTCAAAGATAATTTATACCATTTTTCTTTTCAAATGTATGAAAGTGGGAATTGCATTTTGTAAAAGAGAGACTGCTTGAAAACCCCTGATACCCTGATCTTGATTTTGAAAATGTGCTTTCCCTATCGAATATCCTACATCTAAAAAGTGATTTGGTTCTGATTTTTGTGTTTCTAGTTTAATAATGATTTGGATGTATAAGATGCCATTTTAAGCAATTTCCCTTATGCACACAAGACATCCTAAGGTTGATATCTCTGATGGAAGCCAGGGTGATATTTCCTTTTATTCCTTGAAGCAAGGTGAAATATTTCCAATGTTTTGATTTACTAAACTTACCTTGATTGAAGGAAATTTCATAGACAAAATTATCTGTAGGAAGTAATTTTTTAATAGTTTAAGCAAACTCATCTGGTTTTATGTGCAGTCTTCTTGTGTTGACTAACAGCCCAAAATTTAGTGGTGCAAAAATAAAATTTATGTAGCTGGGATCAATTGACTGCCCATGAGGCAATTGCTTTTGTTTTGATAAGAAATTGTTGCTGCCATTATTTCTGTTTTTTAGGAAATTACAGTGACGAACATGATTAGAATGTTGAGTTAATATTGTGCTGCCATTACAAACAGTTCATCAGATTCTACTTTTGGGATGGATATATTCAAGAGGATGCTCCAGACTGGGCATCCAACCATGCTCAGCTGATATCAGACTTGGCCAGCCAAATCACATTGCTCCTAAATCTCCTATATGATGAAAAGGTTCCTCTACATGTCATGTTCTGGAATGTGCATAAAAGTTTGCGTCATACAGCCCATGTATCTTAGGAAAATGGATAAGTGGACTGAGAAAAGTATTATTATGATCCTGTGGCTGGTCTCTTTACTATTTTTTGTTATGTTGCCCTGCTATTAGGTAAAGAAAAGTATTCACTAGAGCTTTGGCATGATGCAGAAGAAAGCTGCATCGATTGCCAAAGATATGATTTCAAACTGCATGGCTAGCTGAATTTTATTTGTAAATATATTATATATAGAGAACGTTTGTTTTATAATCTGGACTGCACCAGACTGTAAATCATGGACCATTGGATGAGGGGAGACTCCCAATATTAAGGAGTCCATCCCCATCCAATGGTTAGAGTAGTGTAGTCCGGCATATGCTAGATTGCGCTGCACTTTTACTATGTATATATATATAAATGTGTGTGTGTGTATTCCTCATTTGCTGAAACTGTATCCCACGTCACCTGAAGAGATTTGCTTGAATGGATTGTATGGGAGCTGAACCGAACAGGATGAATCCGGGCTAAGCTAAAATGTCTGAATATTTCTACCTGGTCCTCAAGACTTGCTACCCACCAACCGTATATGATATTAACAAGAGGTCAGTCAAGTTAGTACTTATTCAACGGAGTTTGGGGTTAATTTGAGAGGTTCAAATTTTTACAATTTTAAGGCTCTTGCTTTCGCTGGTAATTAAGGGGTTTGAAGTCGCCATTTTTGGGTGTTAATGAAACATAAGGAATCTCTAAGTTAACTACTCCCTCCATTACTTTTAATAATTTTAATTTAATTTTTTGATTTTTTAGATGTAAATTTTAAATAGAAATTTAACAATTTTTACAAACAACAATTAAATTTTTTTTTTATATATAGTTCTTATTGGATTTTCTTTTTTGGTAAAAATTTTTTTAATTATTATTTATATGATGAAAGTATTATATTTATAATATTACGTGATAATGTAAATTTATAATATAAAGTGTTGTTATATAATTAATTTTTTTATTTAAAGGTTTACTTATGATATTGTATTTATTTTTTTCAAAAAAATGATATTATATTTATTTAATGTAACGTCATAATTATAAATTTATAATTTTATGTGACATTATAAATATAGTATTATTATTTATATAATATGTTAAATTTTTATCTACGAATTATATTTAAATAGTTAAAATATGACTGTTAAAAATCAACAAAGGAGTAAAAAAAAGGAATTGCAGATTCTCGTTCATTCAGGCATATCTAATTTCAATTTAGATTTATTTTTGGCCTAATTTCTTTTAAAAAAAATTAATGAAAATTGGGAGGATTCAGCAACGGGAATTTGAAAGATAAAATGGATAGGAATATTGTTCTTCCCCTTCTTAGAATTTCTTTACTTTATTTTTTATTTTTAATTTACTCAAAGTGAACGGCATATCTCGAGAATTTGACTTGGGAATATGGGTAACTTTAGAAGTACTTTGTCTTAACTTGAGATGATTTTAAAAATTAGGACTATTTTGGAATTATATTTTGGAACCTCACCCATTATGGAATTACAGTATATACTTGAAACCACCATTTTTGAATTATCCTTTTTTATTATGTGACCTTGGGTGTAAGATGGAGAAAAATAATTGGTCAATAATTATCATTGTTTGTATTACTCATAAAAAATGAAAGTTGATATAATTTTTAGATTAATTTGATAATTTTTAACTATAATTTAAAATAAACTAATAAAAAATAGACACATGACATTTATAAGTTAAGTTAAAATTAATTTTTTATATTTTTTAGTATAATAAGGTAAAAAAATTACTTTTTTATAGTAGATAATAAATATTTTTATTTAAAATTTGTCTTAAAATAATAATAATTTTTTATATTTTAAAAAGAATA